CAATGTAAGAAAAAACTCGCTCTGTTCTACAAAGTAATCAGACTATATATTCTCTAAGCCCCTGCTTTTTTATCTTCCAAGCTGTATGGGCACACGTACGTCAGATTGAAACTTTTGCCTCTAAATCAATACCTATTTCTCGAAACTCGTCGTTCTGCAGCTTGTTACACAACTGATTGACGTACAACCTCATTCTATTAATGATCAAAAGAATGTCCTCGTCTCGCAACAGTCCCAACAACTCTAGGATTTTTTATTTCCTCTCCATTTTAATTCATTACACACAATTTGTTATATTTGTAATTAAAATGTGTTATAAAGATATTTCTAGGGAAAATGGGGCTAAAAATAAATAACTTTCCAGCAGAAATTTATAGCAAAATAACAGTAAAAAATTATTTACAATATTGTAGTATAACTTAAGTTCAAATAAAATTAATTTCCTGAAAAAAGTAATTTTTTTAGTAATTAATAATTGGAATTTTAAATAAAATTGCAAAAGATTTGTTACAATTAGGATCATTAGAATAAGAATATTTAAAATGAATTATTTATTAATACTTAAACCAGTCGGCTGTAATTTTAACTTTTTCGTATTTTTTTTCATAGTTTTGAATAATATTAGCCTAGTAGTGTATAATTCAACTTTCGTAGGAAACAAAATTTCTTTACGTCAGAAATGGTCAGAAAGTAAATGTACTGTATCTAGAAAACATTTCCTGCACATTTAATCGCTAGTCATATTTCAGAGAACCTGGCATAATAATATTTAACAAGCCCACACATAACTGTCATTATATCCAGCAAACCTACAGTAATTGTCCGTTGTTCAAGGAGTGGAAAATCGATTTAATTGACGGAGCGCGATTTTCCATCCACACACGCCTTTGACCGCAGGCACTTTCGGCACACACGTTCTTGCTACAGGAGACGAAAATTTACCCGCTCAAAATAATAACCATCAGTCATCAAAGTTGGTTAGTCCTGGCCGTCCTTGGCAGGGGTTGCTGCAAGGGAAAGGGTGCGAAACATTAATCACCTGCCTGCTCTGCAAAGTGGCGCGCATAATCCGGCCACGGCAGTAATTTCCCGGAGAAAATTGTCTGCAGCATAAAATTAGGCACGTGACATGAGCGGAGGAAATAAGCAAAGAAAGTGGCAAGTAAGAAGCAGCTCAAAAGCAAGATTCTATTATCCGCCCGCTGGAAGGCTGGTGGGCGGGCGACCGTTTTCTTTTATATGTCAAACTTGGTAAATTTAATAATACAGGAAAGCCTCCTCCCCGGACGCTTTTGCTTGTGGACTGGAGTACGTGCGGGATGATGGAAAATTAGTTATCTTGCCGCGTTCCTTTGGCAAGACGGTCGAGATTTACAGCGACAGCAGGCGAGAGGGAGAAGTGCCGCCGCCACTGCGTGCACGAAGACTTTTTATTATTATTTGGCCCGCACAAAACGGCTTCACTGTGCACAACAACAATGGCAGCCAGAGGTCTCTTTGTCGAGGAGAAGAAGAAGAAGAGACTTCGCGAAATTCAGTCCCGAAGAATCTCCTCGAGACCACTTGCAAGGAGCAAAATAATGGAGAAGAAATGTGCTCTTTGAAACAAGTGGTTGAATGAAAAAGTAATGTGAAGTATAAGAAAGGGAGGGAGCACGAGGGTGGCTGATAATGAAGCAAAAACAGAATAATTGAAGGAAGTAAAATCGTTAAATTAAAAATTTTAAAGCACTAGCAAAGATTGAATTACTTGATAATATTTTAAAAATATAAATAATTTTTGTTTTACTTGTCAAGTAATAAATAATTAACAAAAATATAAATGCTGAAAAATAAATTGATGAAATTTTAATGGAAAAGTAATGTTGTAATAAATATAATATTTATAAATTTAAATTTAGTCTCGCTCTTTCAAAGAAAATTAACATATTTATTTTAAACTAAAAAAGCTAAAATTTTAATTAAAAAATATAAAAATGTGGCAAAATTTGAGAAATCTGCAGCATCAAAAATTAATTCACAAGTTAATGTAAAATACAAAAGCTAATAGACTAAGCACATTTGAATTGATAGACCACATAATTTCTTATTTAATTATTTGATTTAAAGTCAATTTTACCTCTATTTATAGCCTTCATTCACTTTTCCTGTTGACAGCAAATTCAATTAGTGCTTACGTGTTTTAGACGAATCAGCTCGCTTTTACGGTTCGAGCTTTCAATGTAGAAATCCCGAGAGGAAATTGTGATACATTTCGATTTGAACAAACATTGACAGGCGGGCCTCTCGTGTTCCACAGCAAAGAAACAACCTTTCCACCGTACGTACAATTCTTGGAGAGGGGCTGCGCAAAGGTGAAAAATGCAAAAGAGGCTTTTCGACTAACAATAAAGGATATCAACTCCAGAGTCAGCGGGCAATCTTCGCCTGCTGCGCGCGTTATTGCACCTTTGAGAAATGAGGAGGTCGTTTTGCGCCAGAGCAATTGCAACTTTTTTCAAGAACTCTTTTCTTTGCAAAAATGTATTTATGCACTGAATATTTTTTGTTTTTGTCTGCAAAAATCGCCCTCTAAAAGAAAATAGCGTGTAAAAACAATCAGAATTGATAAAAATGACCGTCATCAGAGATTGAATCAAACAAGACAGGCGTGCGTGCTGCGTAATTTGTCAATCGTGATGGATCGACGCTTTTTAAGCTTTCGGTTCAGCGGGCGAATTGATGAATAGCAGTGTCGGTTGCGCAGTTGCTGGTAAAAAGCAGAGCACTCTGAATTGTATCAACGTCATCTAACAACAAACACCCCTCATCGCTTTACGGAAGATTCGGTTTGTGATAAATTTGATTTCGGCTAATTTAATATGCGCGTTGTTTATGTGTAGGCGAAAAGTATGTGGCGCAGAATCGCGGCGAAGAATCGATCCCGTGGTTGAAAGAGCACCCACGACTCACGCTTGTGAGTGTTTTCAAATTATCTCTTTTTGCACTTTCGCCGGCGATTGCTTTTAATTTGGTGGTGGTCCAACGGAGAATGAACACTTCGCAGACACCCCTCTTAACATACCTGTTACTTTCCAACGTGTTCTTCACACACGAGGCTCTTCATGTACTTTCGGAGAGAGGAACACGCAAAATCGGCTAAAGTTACAAGATGTTGAACCGAGTGAAAACGGATAAAAAAAATTATTTATTTTTTATTGCAAATTTACGGATTACAAATTGAAAATTTTTTGGTGTCCGTTTAATTTTTTACCCCTCAGCACCTTTGTAAGTAAAAATAAACATAAGTGCCTAACATTTTCTAATTTACAAACCAATGGGTTATATAATCGTTAGCAAGTTTTTTTTTTAAATAATTTTGCCAGGACTTATGCTGTAGTTAGATGAGAGGGGCCTTTAACCTAAACTAGTCCTGGCGTGCAAATTGAGTGTGAATGTTTTCAAAATCAGATTTTTAAATTATTTAGTTGCTTCCAAGGTTTATTTCTTAATTATATTTTAATTAGGACTGTAGCTCTAGCTAGACGCGAGAGACTTCTGACCAAACCTGAAATAGCTGCGACCTTGATTTATTTTGCCCAACGATTTTGCATAAATAAAAAGATAAAAAAACTGCTCGATAATCAAATTTTGCCTACAATTAGTCTTTATGTCTTTACAAAAACATTTTTCTATTACATAAAATTATTATAAGCATTATTAATTCCTTGATATTCCTTGCATTTAATTTTTATATTTTTATATAAACAGTTTTTGTTTGTCCCGTGAGGGCTAAGTCTATTGAATCTCCCCCATTAATTTTGTAAATTTTTTTATTGTCTCTTAGACGTTTTATTAATTCAATTTATTACTTATCTTGGGCAATTTAAAATAATTATAAATTTATATCCATCATCCATCAAAACTATAACATAATGTAATATTGTGTTGTTTGATTTGAATCTACAACATCATCGCTCATTTTACTGATGTTAAGCGTTTCATCAAGATCAAGTGGTAAACAACTGAGTGGCGTCTCCCTCTCTGATCGGGAAGAAAATTAACAAAAAGCACCTCATCCTTTAACAAACATCTAGTTGCACATACACTGCCTGAAAATAACATTTTTTGTGACTGCTCCCTGCTTTTGTGAATACGTCCAACAAGGGTTTATTTGCCCCAGTGGCGGGCGGACAAGCTGGGCTGGGCTTCGTTTTTGCGAGCGCTAGCAAACATTATTAAAAGAGCCGTACATCGTCTCACTTGCCCAGCAGCTCTCGAAATAAACACGTCCATCTGCGAAACGTAATTAAATTCTAGGAGGAGAAATCCCATCTACTGCCTACATACAAGACGACATTGATGGAATTTCGACAGTTTCATCGCTAGGGTGATGTTGTTTATTATACTTTTTTAAATTGACCCTAGCGAATAATAGTTAAAAAATTCAGAATTTTAAAATTGGAAGAAATTAGTCTTATTAGTTTCACAATCAATTTATAAAGGGAAAAAAGTTGTTTACTAAATTCCATCTTTCCAATGCAAATTTTTCTTCTAAAAATAAAACAAATATGAGAAAAATACCAGGTTTTTTTCATAATTTTTCAGTATTTAAACAGAATAGCTATATGAACCGTGGCACAATTTGTTTATTTTTTACGTTAGACGAGCGGTACTTTTTAGAAACATGCGCACGCCTTGTTCGAGTTTAATGCATGCGCCATTTTGCTCGCCACATTTTTTAACTTTACGCTAAAATAAATTAGTGCAAACTCGTGGCTTTCACGCTCTCCCGTGTGCGTGCATACAAGTAAAATAATATCGTTATTTGTTTCGCCCAAACCACAGCTGCTAAGCGAAAAGTTCATTTGGCTGAAACTTTGCAGGCCTGCAAAAAATTCTCAAAATGTTAAAAGAAATGTATATGAGAAAGTTACAATTGAACAATAAAAAAATTCTCATTCGAAATGAAATGATCAACAAATTAAATTATATTATTGAATTTTAAAAATGTGTTTCAGGATGGAGCATGTTCAACCGAGGAGGCTCCAGTGCTCACGTGACCGACAGCGGGGCAACGGTGCTTTGGTTGCCCTATTGTTCGCACAAAGACCGATGCGTCGACAGCACCGAAGCCTGCAAAACCGAGTGTCTCAGGGTGAGTTCCAATTTTGTTTTATTTTGAATCAAATTTTTGGAGAAAATTTGAAGGCTATTTTTTAAACAAAATTTGCAAAATAATGTAATTTTAATTTGAATAAATTTCTTGTAAAAATAAAATTAAGATTAAAATCACTTTCAATTTGCATAAATCGAAAAGTTTTTATGAAAGCAGAAGCAAGCGATTTTTCTTCTTTTTTTGGGGCATTTACAAAATTTATGTCTTTAAAAATAATGTTCCAAGAGTTCTATTTTTATAAGAGCTTTTTTTCATTGTTGAATATTAAAAGCAAAAAACCTCAGGGGGAAGTCTTTTTTGGTTTATTTTTCCCCAGCTTTTGCAACGAGATTAAAGTGGGAGATAACAATTTTGCAGCCTTTTCACTACGCATCTCGCAATTCAAAAGAGAACAGAGACTCACAAACAGATAGGAACCCAGAATAGATTAAGCTTCGTGGAAACTCGGGCTGCAGTAAATTCGCTCCAGCACTCTTACCGCTTTAATTCAAATCCGCTTTGACAAAAAGCCATCTCGAGATTTATTCGAGTCGACATAATAAATTTCAAATTTCATAGGAGTTTTGGTCCCGCTGCGGATTTATCTCTGTCCGACGAATTTGTTTCAAAACTAATTTCTTCTTTCCTCGCGGAATCGTCTGCATGCGATATGCCCCCGCCACTTTCCTTATTTGTTCAACTAAAAAAACTTGATGGAAAAGCAGATGAGGAAGAGACTCTGGGGAAATACGCCGTTTTAATAGCTTTCTGCGCCGAGTTGAGCAAAATTTTCACATTTTCCTATGCTCTAAATGATGCTAATTAAGCGCCGTTGTTGGAAGCAGCTTGGAGAGCGGCTCTTTGTTGTAATTATAGGAGAAAGGCCGCCGGCATATTTTCTGCCCTCTTTGTTGTAATAAATTTCCCAGCTTATTATAAGCAAAGTAGTTTCGCCAATAAAAGTCAACCTGCCGCGAAGTATTTACAATTTTTCTGCGACTTTCTTTTTATTGCAGCTGGTGACTGACCTGAACCGCGAGGTTTCTTCGCACCACTCGTTGGCACGCACCCTGGGTGGAAGTGGCGACAACAGCCAGTTGAGGGACGAACTGAAAAGGACGAGAAAAAGGGCGCAAGAACTGACCAAGCAGGCGAGACTCAAGCTGATGCCCGCTCTGAGCGAGTGAGTTTTTTTAAATTTTTTTTCACAAGTTTAGTTTATCTTTTTATGTGATTGTATTTACATGCTTGTGGGAAAAGTTTCTAATTTAACGAAAACTAGGTCACTTGTAAAAAATTAACAAAGGGAGAGGATCGTTTCAAAAAACTAAAAATCCTGCGCTGCCGGCCGGACTGCTATGAGAGTTTTCAAAGCGAGAGATGAAAAAGAATAGGGAATGAGCTCAACTGGTAATTGCAAAGCCACAGGCAAAAAGGGGACGAGAGAGCGCACCTGCGTTTTACGAGATGGACAAAAAAAATGCGCACACGCTCTCTCCGTCTCTCAGGCGCGTAGTGGAAATAACAGAGGACCTCTCTCTGAACCGAGTGAGCACCGTCTCTCCGCACTAAAGAGTGCCGAGTGTGTCAAATGCGGGACAGCATTGCAAACTGAATTAGGAACGGACTGGGTGGAGAGCACAGAAAAAGTGTGGACTAATTAGTGCACCCTTGTTTAAAGCTTTAAGTTGAAAATGACGACACTCTGATTTCTTTCCACAATTTAACGAATTACGCCTGTATTAAATATTTAAAATTTAATTTTATTATTACTTTGAATTAAATTTTTAATTCCTTCAATGCATTTAGCGAATTTCTGTTTTCCTTTCGGTTTTCATTTAAAAAATTTTACGCTACTCAAATCAAATATTGATCTGGCTGAAATGAAAAATGTCGATATACTTTTGGCCAGCAAAAAATTGGTTTAGTAAATTCTGCCTTCTCTTTGATTGTAAATTGCGAGAAATTTAATGCTTTCGGAAGCGTCGAAAATCAAACTTTGAATATAATAATTTACGTTCATTTCTTTGAGTGTGCGCTGTTGGTGTGTAACAAATATTTCATTCAAAAATTATTCGGAACAAATTTTTAGAAAGACAAAAATCTTAAAATATTGAAATTAAAAGCTATAAGTTGGAATGTTGAATATTTAAAACTTACAAGAAGATCCATTTTCTGCAATTATTGATTCTCTATCAACTGAGACAGAGTATAATTTTAAATTTGATGGCTAATGTAGAACGCCAATAAAATTAATTCCCTCTCGTAGAGTAAAAAAATTTTGCTATCGTACTACATAATCTTAATTGCCGTATCTAGAAACTTACACAATGAATCGCTAGAAAATGAAGTTTTATATCAAGATCATGTTTCTCTTGAGTTGAACTATTTTAAATTGGTATGTCAAAGTCGACTGAAGCTTCTGGTTCAGTTCAAGAAGCAAATTTAATTGTTAAGTTGTTAATTTGTATATTTTCAATTGTAAATCTTTAAGACATGACTAAAGTAGTATAAACAGCAATAATAAAAATAATAAAAAATCAAGTAGTTTTTTTTAACCTTTTTGGTTCTAAGGCCAATTTAAGATTTTCTTTCTATAATTTGTTACATTTTCAATAAACAATTCTGAAACTGATCGTGTAAAAAAACGCACTGAAAATCAAAGCATTAACAGTAATAATCTGACATTTCTCGCAATCCGAGGGTGCTTATTAAAAAAACTACAGCATTTTGCGCTGGCACGATTTTGAGCTTGTTGTAATGCGGAGAGATTCGTCTTTAGTGCCAACAGCGGCAGAGGAAATTTATTCAACAGATATATTATCCGCCAGTCTGTGACCGCGCGCGTTGCAAGGAAAACCAATACAGCCAATGATAATATAAGCAATTCCATTCGACTTTCCTTCCGAAAAAAAAAACGCCTGCTGAAAAATAGCGCTCTTTTTCCGCTCGACTGCTTATTTGCCATTCACCCCGGCAAGTCTCATCTCTCAACTCTGCTGTCGACTCTCTTTCTCCACCGAGCAAAAAAGTTGACCCAGTTGTCAGTGTGTGTGTTGATGCGTTGGCACCAGCGGCTCAGGCAGCACCACCACCAGATTTACGACTTTCCTTATCTTCCGGCTGCGCTCATCAATCTGAGCAGCGCGCCCATCTCGTTTGCTTCTCCCGAGTGCGTGTGCATGTGTGCCGTCCACTCAGCACAAAGGACGATTCACTTCCCGGCTTTCTTGCAAATGGACCTATCCAATTTCAAGAGAAAACAGGCAGTTAACTAGAACGGTATAGCTTTTTTATTTGAGCAGCAATAAAAGATGCGCGGTTTGTTAAACTTTTATTATTTGCAATAAAATGTATTATTTAGTCAATTTTTTTGCATCTTTGTAAATTTTAATACTGTGATTTATTTACTCTTTATTAATTATTATTTCTGTATTCCATTTTATAGCAACAATATTTTTTTAAATTAATTTTAATTATATTAATTGGGTCCATGATTGAAGAGAAGATTTGCTAAAAAAAAGTTAATTAATAGTTATGCATTAATATTTAGAAGATTTCAAATAGTTAAATAAGATAAATTGCCCTAGAAAAAGCAAGAAATTTAACATCAAGATAACTGCTTGACCATCTGTTGATTTTTTAGCCATCATTGAAAAACCGAGCTAGATCAAAGCAAGCAGACTTTAGCGCCTTTATTGATTTTTTTTTAGTAATTATGTTAGGTTGATACGACTTTGCGAGTACCTGGGCAACACTCCTCGCCTGGTCATCACTCCTCTCACTGACAGACCTGTAGGAATTGTGCTCTATAGGGAGAAATGATATTTTATGTTATGTTTATAGTATGTCTGGAGATTTTTCATTAAAATTAAAGCCAATAAAGGAAAAATTAATTCTTAAGAAAAAAAGAATAACATTTCTTTTGAAGAATTGTAGAAAACGCTGAAAATTTGATTGTATTTTAAGGCTGCAGTTGGGGCGAGTTTTTCACTCATATCCCTTCTTTTTTTCCCTTCTTTTGATTTTTTCCTAGAATAAATAATAATAATTATTGAACTGTTCAGACTGAAAAATTGAACTAATCAGCACTAATCAGTAGACGGAGTAGTTAATAGCGTTTAAATTTCAGTACTTTTTTACTTCTCAAAGGAAACAATTTTAATTATTTTTTAAATTAAGTTATTAATTTGAAAGCACACATATTGTTTCAATTCCTACAACATTCGATACGCCACAATTCCCTTTATTCCAACTTGATTTATTTCAAGGCTACCCCTTCGGGAACACACATGTTTAAGAACACCCAATTTCGCTGCATGGGGCAGGTGCGTATATCATTTTTACGGCCAGCCTTGCCCTCTGTCTTTGTGACGGTGGTGTAAATAAAATGAAAAGGGAAAAAAGCGCAGGCGGTGAAGTTGCCCGACCGCAAATTCGTCCCGCCGCGCCGGATTAGCCGAGCTTGGTGGAAAATAATGGGAAAAAGAAATCTGCCTCGATGCGAGGGGGTGACAAAATTTCGGGCCGGAAGCTTCTGTGACGAGGCCACTCTGCTCTCGGTGGAAATTCGATTCTCGGCCACACACTTTTTGCACTTTTCATAATATCAAATAAAGTGAGTGCGCTCTCCGTGGCGTGCTCTTCTATTGCTGATGGAAAATCAATACTACTCGGTATATGTATGCGGTCGTCGTTCAGCGTGTGGAATGTTTGCGTGCCTGGAATTTAAATTGTTGCATTACTTTTCCTTTGCACACGCCGCTTTCTGCTCACACAAGAGCAACTACTTATCAACTTGTTTATAATTTTCCTTGCAAACTCCGGCTGAGGTTCTCCCCATGAATAAATATGAGCAATCCAAAGTTGGCATACAGCAACTATATTGGATGCATTTATTTGGAAAAGTTCACAGTACTATACAGATAAGCATTACTCTTTCGCAGAACTAGATAAATAGCTTGGAATGGGAATCACATTATCATAAAATGCTTCAAAGTTTGCCATTGGCTTTCGCAAATTTAGATAAATTTATTTGAATTTATTGATATTTGGTCTGATATGGTAACATATCAGTATCTCAAAAGTTTGTTATTGATCTATTTACTTTTTTATTTCAGCTCAAAGTTGAATGAAAAGGACAGAGCGGAGATAGAAAGATTATGGTACCTCTACTGCTGTTGCGTTTGTATTTTAGGTAAGCACATTTTCCGTTTCTTCTCGTACCTTGGAAATGAACACGACTGTCAGTTTATTTTTTTAATGAAATTTTCCCCCACAATGAATAAAACATTTCATTCCGTTGTGCCAACCGTAAGCTCGCAGACCTTTTTAATCTTTGCTCGCAAAACAGAGGGCGACATGCAGCGTTCGCTGAGTTTGTTGCGGCTGTTTTCTCTGAGCGGAGCGCCGGCTGGCTTCATCAACACGGGTCTTCACGAGTTTGGCGGCATCTGTGCGGTGCTGCACCACAAACCGGTGGCCACGGTGGCCGCTGTGGCCGCCATGGGTGGATTCCGGCCGCCTACGGAACTCAACGCACCTCAAGACAAGACGGCGTTGGAAACAGCCGAACTTAACCAACTTCACAAGTAAAAAATTTGACCTAATGGAATTTTTGTTTCAACAACCCTGAACAAGTATATTTATTAAGAATTTCTGCGAAAAGAAAAAAGTTTTATCTTTCGATTTTTAGATCGGGGATTTTTCTTCCCTGTTAAAGTTAAAAGAGTGATCAACACGTGTTAAAATCTTGATCGTTTCAAACTGTACGAGCAACAGTCGAGTGCCTGTCGGTTGAAAGTTAGGCAACACGCGTGACATTTACGCCACACAGGTTGCAGCATTATATTTGCGCGTTCAACTGTTGATCTTTCCGCATGAAGAGGTCAAAAGGCGCTCCACAACATTATTATAACGTAATTTTGCATTATTGGGGTTATAAAAGAGAAAGAAAAAAATACAGTATAAAATGTGAGCAGTTAACCTTTACTTTCAATAGGCCTTATGCAATTTATGTCCGAATGCGAATAATGTGAGGCAATTTTTCATTTCTCGACTTTATTTAAAATTCAATTTCCAACTTAATTTTGCAAGCTATTAAAATGTAGTTAACTTTTTGCTAGAAATCTACAAATCAAAATAAAATAAGAATTACTGAATAAACTTAACAGTGCGGATTATAAAAAAATAAAGGCTTTTTTCCTAATCAGCCTATATTATTAATTGCTGTTAATTACACAAGCGTTTTAAAAGTTGTAAAGGAATATTTATATTTTTTATTCTGAAATTTTAGAGAAATTGTGGATTTGCGCGAGGTGGTGCCGGAGTTTCAAAAGGGCGACCACAGCGTGATCGACATGAAAGAGTGGCAGCAACACATGGAGCAGCAGAACGCCGCCCAAAACAACGGCAAGACCAAAGATGGCTCGGAAAACAACGAGCAGTCTTTGGAAGAAGAGTGCCAGGTACAGTAGAGTGTGAGCACAAAACAATGCGCGTAACGCGCTCTTGTCGTGGAACAAAAAGCGTCCGCCGCCATTTCCGCGCCTCAGATAAAACAAGAATCAATATTAAACACACCCGCCGGAGAAGGAAATTTTTGACGAGAAAAGTTTCGGCAATCAGAAGTTGTTGCAGCTTCGACGCGATCTTCGCCCGCGGACGTGTTATTTAAAAAGTTTACTGCGCGATTTCAATCTCTTGCTCCCTCGTTTCGCCATCCTCTTTATGGCAGCCTCGGCTGCTTCCATCTCTCTTACTTATTTTTTTACGTCCATGTGTAATGTGTGGTCGGCTATTCCAGAGAGCGCGCCCAGTTAGTACTTAACTGCGGGCGAGTGGTTGTGCAAGCAATTAGTTATTTTACACGAAAAACTTTGTTCCACGTCCCGGATGCGTCTTTTCTCATGCACGATGATTCCCTTCTTTTATTCACAATTTGCTCCCTCGCGTGTAATTTGAGTAACAGCAAAAAACTACAATGTCTGCGGTCAAGTTTAAGGATCTGCAATAATAAAATCCCTAGCTTGATATTTTTATCGCGCACGAGAGCTTTTCATAGCGCTTACTTTTTACAGGTCCCATGTAATCGTCCAAAAAAGTAGCAATTTTGTGAGTTTACTGTGGTCATATAAGTCAGACTAAAAAGAGCCCCTGACTTTAAAAAAAGTAGCACGGTGCCTTTTTTAATAGCAAAGAAAATTTACTTACAAAATAAAAAATATATCAACGTGTTAAACCATTAAAAAATTTTTACCTAAAATTTATCATTAGTTATCTTTGATTGGTGCGGTTATTTATTGATTATTTCAATTCACTGAAAATTTCACAGATTATTTTGAACATAATATATAATTTTTTAATAATTTTAAAGTAATCCCAACATTGGCATAGCATTAATGAATTAAAAGTATTCATACCCATCGTTCCTAATCCTATGTATTTAGCCTTTCTTTTAATTTAATTTTGAAAATAATATCAAATTAAAATTTCTTGCTACAGGTGGGAATTGAAGGCGAAGGGATGAGTCTGCAGCAGCGGCGGTTCATTTGTTATCTGCTAGTGGGCCTAGTCAGCGTTCTCGCCGTGGCCGCCGTCTTGTGCGCCTTGCTGGCTGTGCTGTTCTAGTGGCGGAGGCCCGGGTCACTCCCTTCGTCCCTGTTGGGTTCCCGGGCTGCTCGCCATCATTAGACTACTTTTTCCAGTCTTTCAGTCAGCCTCCCTCGACTCTGGGAACCACCACGCACTTTCTTGTTATCACCGCCGTTTTTCTCTGTACAACTTGTTAAGTGATGCTGGGACAAAAGTTTCTGACAATACGACGTGCGAACGGACCTCTAATGCGGTCGGTCCACGCTGTTATAAAGGTGTTTTGGCAAGGCGGAATACGCTCTTTTTTATTATTATATTATAGTAGAGGGACTGAATGTTGCGCTTTTGAATGGGGAAGGGTATTAATGAAAACATTTAGAATGTTTATGGCTTTGTGATTTAAGCATTTCTTTTGGTAGAAATTTGTAGGAGAATATAAAATGACATTTTAAAATTGAATAGTTAAAATTATGTTGACGTTGTGCGAAGTTTGGGAAATTTGTGCTTGATGCTTTCATTAGAGAGGCCTTATACTTGTCCATGTGGAATTACTTAAACTTTTGCGCCATTGCCTTTTCATTGCGAAAATAATTGTATTATTTTCTAAGTAATGGGAGGGAAGCTGACTAATGTCGTTGCTTGAAAAATTTAAGGAACTGCAACCATTTAATGAAACTTGAAAACTAAACACTCTAGGTGGATTTCATGCAATAAATTGAAACCGGGCTTATAAACTTGGGCAAATGTTTTTCAAGTACAAGTAGATCCCATTATTTGTGGTTGATCTTATTATCATGCTTTTATAATAATTATTTTAGTAATTAAGGTTGAAGTTGAGTTTCAATTTTTTAATTGAACGTATGTTTATTATTTTCAAACGTTTTATGACTTGTGAAAAAAAAAAAATAAGTATTTTTGGTAGAAAATTGTGTCCTGGGAAGAGTTTCGAGTTGTTGTTTCAAAGCAATGAGTTAAATAAGTACGTAACTTATGTAACATAATTCATGCCAAATTTTAACAAACAATATTCAAAATGGCAATATAATATTACATAAAATTGACTAATGTAAAGAATTAAAAAAAGGACTTAGAACGTTGAAAATTGTGTCACCTCTGGATGGATAATATGTAAAATTAGACCTTTTCAAAATTTCACTATAAATAATAGCCACGATCAGTTGGCAAAGTGTCTAATAATGTATCATGCCATTTTTTTTTTAATTTATCAAGCTTTTAAAACATTTCATACTGTACTATAAAAGGCCTAATAAAGTTATCTTGCAGAAAAATGTTATGTGCTATATAGGAGATACGTCAAAAAAGATTTGACATCAACTGTGTCGCACTAAGACAATGTAATTAAATAATAATTTAAAGTTGTACGCATTCTGAAGCAGGTTTATTAGAAACATTTAAAATGGAAATCCGTGTCTTTCAATAAAACTGGATCAAGTTTATCACCACCTCCGACGTTTAATTTCTGCCTCACAAGCAGTAGATGCTATAAGTTTTAGTAGTCATTTGATGCGCTTGTCTCATTCTCGAAAATATTTAAATATAATAAAATACTTTTAAATTCCCTTCCCTTACCATAAGAAAAATAAAATAATCTTTTAAATTAACACTCCTCCAAAATTTATGAGCCATATCGGAAGATAAATTTATGAATTAAAACGATTCAAGCATTTCTTTTGTCATTTTATTAATCAATGCCATTTACACAATGACAATTGCAGCTCAGTTCCTCCCTTAGAACAGAATTAACAGTAGAAAATTAAGTTGTTTGCGTATTCAACAGCTTCCCACGGGCCAGATGCTTTCAATTTCAAACATAATCATAACTTAATGCATGTGAATGATTCACTTCTTTCGAGTCCGACATTGAATAAGAGTTAAAAAATGAAACCCTTCACAAAGTTCATCTCATTAATTGGAAAAATGAACGATTATTGGAAAATAATAATAATTAATGATTATAATTTTCATAATTTTTTAATGGCCTAATTAAAAAAGGGTTGAGTTTACAGCTTGTCCAAGTATTGTGTGAGGTCGGGAAGTCCTTCCTTCAGGCCCTTCCTCTTGCGGGTGTCTTGGACAATGGTGTATGTCCTGCTGCTGGGCTCTGTTGGGTCTCCAGGCATGATCTGCCAGTGGTCAAACACGCTCTGGGGGAAGGCCTGACCGCCGGTGTTGCTGCGCAAGTCAGCAGTGAATCCGAACGACTCGTTGACAGGCAAGTACGCCTTAACGACGAACATGGGTGTGCCCGCAATTTGCGCCTCCTCAAAGACAATACCACGACGCCTGTTCAGGACACCATAAATACCTCCAACAGCAACTTCGGGACACTGTTAATACAGAGAAATTAATCAGCACAAAAATTTTATAAATATAAAGTCAATTCATTGGATGAGAAAAAAAATTATTTTTACCTGGACTTCGCACAGGTACACAGGCTCCATGAGGCGAGGAGCTGCAGTCAGAAGACAGGCATAGAGGCAACGGCGAGTTGTGGGAATGATCTGGCCACCACCACGATGGATGGCGTCAGCATGCAGAGTAACATCATAAATGTTGAAACGCACACCACGCAAGTTTTCTTCAGCAAGGACACCCTGAGAATAAAAATTAACATAAAAAATCAATTTATATTAGATATTGGTGAAAAATCGCACCTCCTTTGTGGCCCACTGGAAGCCAGCAACAACGGAATCCTTGATTTCGTTCAGGTACTGCACACCCTTGGTGCAGTCAATGAGGATGTTGGGGCCGGTGCCGTCAGGACCGAAACACCAGATCTTACGAGCCTCGGTGATGTCGTACTCGTATTTGTCGCAAAGGTAGCGGCCGCGAACCTTGAAGTCGTCTCTGGGGTTGACCTCACCCTTGTCAATGTCCTCGGGAAGACCATCAGGCATGGGCACGGCCTTCATAAACAGACGGTTGTGCTTGTTGGGAGACTTTGACAGACACATCTGGTTCGACTCCTCCGCGACGGTTTCACGGTAAGACACGACAGGGTCTGACTTCTTGATGGGAACGCAAGCGTGGTCCTCTTCCAAGTCCTTCAGACAGATTTCCAAGTGCAACTCACCGGCACCAGCAATGATGTGCTCACCAGACTCCTCAATGAGACACTGCACCATGGGATCTGACTTGGCCAAACGCTTAAGACCTATAAAAAATATTAAAAAATCCATGTAAAAATGTATCATCAATTAAGTAGGAAACTTCAAAATGAAAAAATTAAAGGATATATAAATAATTGTGCTTCAGATGGCCGTTCTTAAGTTCTTCAAAGATATTTCAGAACAGGTCTGTGAATAGAACAAATCATCATGTGCTTGAGGGATTTCGTTTGAAATAAAATTCTCTGATATGAATTTTGTATCAAAACTTTAAACCTTACCTTCCACAAGCTTGGGCAGGTCAGCAGGGTTCTTGGGCTCAACAGCCACACGCACGACAGGGGAGACACTGAACTTCATGACACGCATGTTGTGGGCATCCTTGAAGGTGGAGATGGTTCCAGTCTTGACAAGGAACTGATCCACACCAACAAGACCGCAGATGTTGCCGCAGGGCACGTCCTCGATGGACTCGACGTAACGTCCCATCATGAGGATGGTGCGCTGGATGGCCTTCTCGTAAAGATCCTCCTTCTTGCCAGGGGTGTAGTTGGGGCCCATGATGCGGGCCTTCATGCCAGTGGCCACCTTGCCAGAGAAGACACGACCGAAAGCGTAGAAGCGGCCCTTGTCAGTGGTTGGCACCATCTTGGAAATGTACATCATCAGAGGACCGTCAGGGTCGCAGTTCTATTGGAAACAAATATTTGAAAAAAAGATTAGACGCTACCAAATTGTGTCTTCATGTAACAAACCTTGACAGCGACGGCGGCTTCATCATCGAGTGGTCCCTCATACAACATCTCCATACGGTACTTCTGGGCAACAACAGGTGAAGGCAGGTGGATGGCAATCATCTGAAGCAGAGCCTCGCCAGCGGGCAACCAGGTGCGCATGACCACCTTCAGCAGAGCCTTTCCATCCTTGTCAGAGTCTTCGTGCTTGAGCTCAATGTTGAGTTTCTTGAGCAGGTCAGTAGTTTCCTCTTTCTTGTAGTTCATGATGGCGTCGAAGACCTTGTAAATAGGGTCCAGGACATACATACAGAAGGAGCGTTTGTTGTCGTCCTCCTTCTGCTTGGCCCACTTCTTGGTCTTGGGGTTGAAGAAGTTCTCACCCCAAAGGCTGAAAATTAATCAAGCGTTTAAAAAAAAACTGGTTTTGAGGAATAGGAACTTAGGAGGGAGTTGTCACCTAAAAGCAAAAAATAATAGAATCGACAATTGCAAAAAATTCTTACCGGTTCATCAGCTTCACAACGTCAATCTTGAACTTCTCGGCATACATTTCGGAGAACTGCTTCAGGGTGAAGGCCCATCCGTGAAGACCAGAGCCGAAGCCCACACTTCCCTTGGAGGTATCGACTCGGACAACACCCATTGGTCCTTCGTCGTCGCTGTAGGTGGCGATGATGACGTTCACGTTTTCCACAATGCGCTGGAAGGTCTGGAAAAGTTCCTCCTGTTCCAACTGCAACTCGAGCAGGGCGCGGTCCATCTTGTTCATGAAAAGGACGGGCTTGATGCGCTCGGCAATGGCCTGGCGCAGCACAGTCTCTGTCTGTACGCACACACCTGTCGAAATAAAAATTAATTAATTATCAATATTTTAATTAAATATAAAATCAAAATCAATTAAGTCTAAATAAGCTTCAGATGGCCGTTCTAAAGTTCTTCAAAGAATTATTTCAGAACAGGTCTGTGAATAGAACAATCATCATGTGCTAGAATGTACTACTGTGACCATCATTGTTATATAATAAAATTTTCAGGTGACTCACCAGAGACGCAATCGACGACGACAAGGGCACCGTCTGTTACACGAAGGGCGGCTGTGACCTCGCTAGAGAAGTCAACGTGTCCAGGAGAGTCAATCAGGTTGATAAGGAAACCCTTCTCAGCCTTGTCACGTTGGTCGGGGTTGGTGATGAAAACCAAATCCTTGTCCTCCAACTCGAAATACATGGAAATGGCGCTGATGACATAATGATTGTGGTAAAAAAAAATTAATTAAAATGTGTATCTTCACTCACGTTGACTTAATGGTGATGCATCGTTCTTGCTCGTCCTTACGGGTGTCGGTGAAGCGGGTCTCACCAGCCTTTGCGCTGGCGATGATGCCCGCCTTGGACACCAGAGAGTCCGTCAACGTCGACTTTCCGTGGTCGACGTGTGCGATGACGGACATGTTTCGGATGTTCTTCTTTTTGTCCATCATGACACGGATTTCGTCTACTGAAAAGTTCACCTGCAAAAAAAAACGTACATAGGCTTAACGTCAACCAAATTGTAGAGATTTCCAGACAGAACAATATAATAAATGCAGATATTTTAAATTACATTGCAAAGAGACAAAATGACGAGAGGGTGATTTTAGTTTTGAAGGGAAAACTGCCGAACAAAATAAGTCCATGTTGAGAAAGCGTGCTGCAGGTGGACATCAACATTCGGCCATATGTGCATGCGAATTTCCGCTTTTCCTAACGTCGCCGAAACACAAACTTGCACAAAAATAGTTTGCCGACTATCAATCTTGAGTTTCAGAGCGATAGAATGTGGGTCGAGACCAAAAAGCAATAAATCGGCACTTTACAAAAGACACGTTGGCATAATGTCAATGGCCCAAGCCAGCCGTGTTCAGAGTGGTGCATGCTACTCAACAGACTTGGTAAGTTTCGGCATTTCAGCCGCCCAATCTTAACATGTTTCGTCCGAACGAATTAGAAAATCGGTTCGGCCGGGACATCAAGAACGATTTCGAAAGGGCTAAAAGGCAAATAATTACGTACCATTTTGGATGTTTGCCGATTTCCTTCTTCACTAAAGAAAGGCCTCGGCTTGTATGGCGGACTCGCGGTGAAAGAACGATTTTGCTGTGTTGCCTTTTACCGTCGAGGCGCAGCTGCACGCTGCACCACGTTGCACGCCGCGTGCTTCACCCTTTCACCGTGTGGCAGAATTACGGCAACGTTGCATACCGGTCTTTAAATTTGACACCCGGGAAACGCACGCCTAGCATTTGCCTTGCAAAATTGCTTCTCGAATTTTCTCCAAGATTTTCATAGCAAATTTTTTTTGAACCTGAAAAAAATTTTTCTTTCATTTATTAAATTTTAATTTTTGAAATGAACTGTATAATAATGTAACATCCGAGAAAAAGAATGAATAGAATAATTTCATTTCCATACTTTTACAATAGATGGTGCTCACCTGCAAAACCCGTGCAAGACCACCAGCGGGGCGGGGCCAGCGGGTCATTTAAAATTGGCCAACTTTCTAGAGCAATAATAACAAATTTAGGGCTCTTATCACTTGGATGCAGCGTAGAATATTTTTGTGATAGTTTTACCGTGACATTCGTTTACATTTATAAAAAATGTAAGTTTTGCATCAATTTCCTTTAAACCATGCTTTGACAGTGAATATATATCTATATTTTAAAGATTTTTCTCGGCTCAGCAAAATGACTCTTAGAACGATGAACTAATGATTTTTCATACCATAAACCACTCAAAATAAAAGTGCAACGTCAGGTGTTGCTTTTGTTGTTTTAGATTTTAGATGCTGAGATTTTTTTCATTTTTTCAGCACAATGAGTGATGGTCAAGAAGACTCTTTCGAAGTCATCGAGAAGAATGAGGTTGAGAATCAGGAAGAAGAAGGGGCTACGCTGCTTGAGGAAAAGGAGAGTACAAAAGATCCAGAGCCAGAGGACGAATGGGTTGATATTTTGGGCAGTGGGCAGCTTAGGAAGAAGGTATGCAGAAAATAATTTTAATGATAATTTTTTTTAGAAAATTTAATGTATTGTTTTTTAGGTGCTCAAACCTGGTGAGCCAGGCACACGACCTCAGCGAGGAGACATCTGTTATTTGAATATTGAAGGAAAACTTATCAATGGAACAGTATTTGAAAAGCTTGAAAACTTTGAAATCCAAGTTGGGGATGCTGAGGTAAATAATCTATACTTTTTTTTTAAATTTGAATGTACTATTTTTCTGTAATTTATCATTGTATTTTTAGTTGGTGCAAGGGCTGGACTTGGCTGTGCCACTTATGGACGTTGGTGAAACTGCCCTGGTTGAAGTTCATCCCAGGTTTGGCTACGGAACGTTAGGCAAAGAGCCCGATGTACCTGAAGCAGCAGTTTTAATGTACACGGTGGAGTTAGTGAAAGCAGACCCTGAACCAGAATTCGAGGAGCTCTCAGCACTGAAAAGACAAGAAGCAGGGTAAGCTCAATATAATAATTCTTGTGATTTCCTCCCAAAGGTAACATACCAATTTGTATTGAATTTCAGCATTAAAAAACGGGAGAGAGGAAATTGGTGGTATTCAAGAAATGAGCACACCCTTGCCGTTCAATGTTACCGACGAGCTCTCGACTTCCTTGACAGTGACGGAGGCATAACAGCCGGTGTTGAACCAAGAGACTCTGTTGAGGTAACTTCCAACTAATAAAAACAAAATAATGAACTGAAAATAATACATTTATATTTTGGCAGGATCTAAAGCCAATCTTTGCTGAAAGATTGAAAGTTTACAACAACCTTGCAGCCTCGCAGATGAAACTTCAGGCCTACGACTCTGCACTTCATTCTGTGGAAAATGTTTTGAGATGTGAGCCAAATAATATCAAGGCCATGTTTAGAAAAGGAAAGGTAAGCTGTATACAATTGAACATCAAATTTCCTTAACATGAAATTTTAAAAATTGAAGAAAATATCATGCTTCTTTGGTGGAGCTAAATTAAATTTTAAATCTTGAATTTTGTATAAATTTAATTAATAAGTAAATGATTTTTTTTTAGATATTGTGTGAAAAGGGAGAATATGAGAAGTCCGTGGAAGTGTTCAAGCAGGCCAATCAACTTCAGCCTGATAATAAGCCAATCCAACAAGAGCTAGCAAGAGTCATGGCAAAATCCAAGCATGAGTTGAGTAAACAAAAGAACATGTATAGAAAAATGCTTGGACAAAAAGATGACAAAAAGTCCTCCTCAGAGTCTTCTGGCAAGGCACCAGTAAGTTGATTTTCAGAAAGTTGTCAAGACTATTCTAAAATGGAAGGCCGTATTATCTTAGGCTGCTAAATTTTCCTGGAAACTGATTGCTGGCAGTGCTGCAGCTGTGGCCGCTGGAGTGCTTGTCTACAAATACAAAACATTTTAACCTAAAGCAAGGCTGTAATTCATGTATATAGGTGGAAATTCAAAATGTACAGTTTCGTTGTCAAAGTAATATTCTTATAGGCTTACATTCCTCTTAGAAAAGATTCTCATGATAATAATTTGATGAGACTTTGCCTTTGGGAATTATTATTTTGTTTGGTTCTATTTTTGAATAATATATAAAGGCTATACTTTTTAATAGCGAAAATATTTGCTTTCATTTTATTTTGAGTTCAATACCATAAAAAAAACTAATATGAGTTGAAAAATATTTCCAACGTATGATAGCATTGCAAACTCTGTTTATCCTGAAAAATTGAAACTGGGCGAGCCTCGTTACATTACATTTATTACAAGAAGCAAAAATGAAAAATACATTACATTAATCCCTATTTTTTTCCCTATCGCGCTCCTTGCGATCACGCCTTTATTATTTCACTCCCGCCCTCTACTTTATGAATTAGTGCTTTGTCGACATTCATTTGTTTTAGATTTGATCAGCTGCAAATTTTTCTCTTGTAGGTTCTTGTTTTGCACTTTTCGCAGGTAATTTTCTAAATTTTTGTTAGTTGATATTGAAAATTGATGAACCAACAATTGAAGAATAATTTCTCCTAAACCATTTGGCTGAAACTCATTGCTAATTCTGATTTTGTATGCTAGAAATCGACTAGATTAACATCAAGGTCGCTTCGTCAAGGCCACAGCAGCCATGTTTGGAAAGTGGTAATGCATAGCTAACAGGGAAGACGAATAGGTGTATCTCGAATAAGCTGAGGTTTGTACTCTAAGTTATTACTGAAGCCAACTTTTAATGTAATTTTCTTGCACAGCTTATAATTGGGCGTCGGAAAAACACAAAACGACGGCGCCTGATAATCAAATGCTCTGAAAATCAGCCTTTGAAATTTCATTGTCGATAGTGTTGACCTTGTCTCGGCATTATAATGGCTGGAGTTGGCGGACCTCAGTCACCCCTGGACATGAAACCCGACACAGCAACTCTCCTGAATGCAGTAGGCTTTGGTCCTGGCGCCCTTGGGGGCCCCAACAGTCCCGGAATGCCTCAGGCTTCCTTCCTAGGCGACCGTGGCAAGGCTGGCTCAAGCAACGGTGAAGCTTCCAACAGCTCTTACCCTCCGAATCATCCTCTGAGTGGTTCCAAACACCTGTGCTCCATATGTGGAGACAGGGCCAGCGGAAAACACTATGGTGTGTACAGCTGTGAAGGTTGCAAAGGATTCTTCAAACGGACTGTCCGGAAGGACCTGTCCTATGCTTGCCGAGAAGATAAAAACTGCATCATTGACAAGAGGCAGCGCAACAGATGTCAATACTGCAGGTTGGTTCATGCAAATTTTAAAGTAAATTATTCTAGACTGAAAAATTCTATTAATTTATATTTTAATAAAATTTTATTTTATAATCTTAGATATGATGAAAGTATTATTTTTAACTTAATTAACTTTGTTCTGATTTCAGATACCAAAAATGTTTGGCTATGGGTATGAAACGAGAGGCAGTTCAAGAGGAACGGCAACGCACTAGAGAAAAAGGCGAAGCTGAGGTTGAGTCAACAAGCAATGCTTATTCAGACATGCCAGTGGAGCGCATACTTGAGGCAGAACGCAGGGTCGAGTGCAAGCTGGAACCACAAACAGCGAACGACCTTCATGAACCGGACACAGCAGTGACCAGTATTTGTCAGGCCACAAATAAGCAGTTGCTGCAGCTGGTCGAGTGGGCCAAGCACATCCCCCACTTCACCTCTCTCCCCATTGAGGACCAGGTTGTCCTGCTTCGAGCCGGCTGGAATGAACTTCTGATCGCAGCCTTCTCCCACCGCTCAATAGACGTGAAGGATGGCATCGTTCTTGCCACTGGTCTCACAGTCCACCGTGACTCAGCCCACCAGGCCGGGGTTGGCGCTATCTTCGATCGAGTCCTTACTGAGCTGGTGTCCAAAATGAGAGAAATGCGCATGGATAAAGCTGAGCTGGGATGCCTGAGGGCAATTATTCTGTTCAACCCCGACATTCGAGGCCTCAAATCGCAGCAGCAGGTGGAAATCCTCAGGGAAAAGGTGTACGCAGCCCTTGAAGATTACACCCGATCCACGCGTCCTGACGAACCGGGCCGATTTGCCAAACTGCTGCTACGTCTTCCGTCTCTCCGCTCCATTGGCCTCAAGTGTCTGGAGCACTTATTCTTCTTCCGCCTCATCGGCGACGTGCCGATAGACTCGTTCCTCACGGAAATGCTCGAGTCGCACAACACAGACTCATAGGCTGCTGGGAGAGAGCAAATCTGTGGAGGCCGACTTCTCGTCATTATCGAGGGAACGAATTTTAGCACTAGTTATTTAATTAGAGCGATCCTGAAATCAATCTATTCATGTTTCAACCTTTGGATGTTTACATAAATGTTAGATATTCAATGTGTACCTTGGTAATTTACAGCCGGTTGTTTTCAAGAGCTGAATTTCACTTTTTAGACTTTTACTTCAAGAGACGTTACATTCATAATATTTTAACTGAACGCCATCTCAAACAAACTGAGTCCCAAAGATGAAGCAATTAAAAATCAAAATGATTCTCACACAGCTTGCTGTACCAAGTACCATTTTTAGCATGGTATCAGTTTTCACTCTTTAAACCAACCGCGCTTCATTATATTATAAAGAATTCATTACCGATAGCTCTCACGTGACTAACATTTTTCATCATTCTTGCATAGAAGACTTATAGCTTGTAAATTTACACGCCTTGAACAATAATTTTTAATTGTCCTTTGACAATTTTGGATTGTTACTTAATTCTACCATATTTTTGTAAATCAACGAGCACTCTATTGGGTTGTTATCTATGCTGCTGATTCATTATTCATATTACATTTTTATAGTGATAGAGCTGTTAATTAATTGGTTTGGGTTCCAATTTGATATTATGAATATTGTATTTTATGCACAGCATTTTCTGTAATATTTTCCCCTGGCAAAATATTTTAGGCGCACTACTACGATAATTACTCGTGTTTCCCTCCCGAGCACGTTGCACACATACCCTGATGCATCCCTTAACTTTCTGAGTGTCCTCTCTATGAGAATTAAACCCCGGAAAATTTAAGAGTGTGTGTTGGAATTTTATGGTGGATGGCCTGTTGTTTTGTCAAGAGCACTGACTTTCAAGCACTGAAAAGAATATTATAATCTTTTAAATAAGAAAACGGCCAACTCAATTGTGGTGTTGACAAGAGTAAGACTGAAGAATTTGTTGAGAGCGACAGAGTTTTTATGTATACATTTGACAAAACATGTTAATTGTAACTTAGTTGGGTTTACGTAACTGGCCTAAAGTCGACCAAATTTTGTGCTTATTGTTGTGCAGAAATTAATTTGTCAGCAATCACTCTTCTCCCTTGGATTTGTGTTATTTCATTGGGCATCGTTTGTTGGCACACACTTTTATCAATAAAAATATTTAACTTGAATTTCAAGTGTATTGATAAACTGAACATGCATGTGTCTTGTGTTATCTGTGACAGGTTGTTGCACCAAGATTAAAATTACCGCAAAGTTTTTACCCTATGACCTTTAATGAACAATACAGCATTTAACTTAATTACATTCAAATAAGTTAAAATGTACTACACAATAATGACTGAGAATGATTTGAAGCACTGTCTTATTGGATACAGTCAACATTCCTATAAAAATCTACTTGACAACTACAAATGTAAAAAGTTAAAAAGTCTTGAGATATAATACTATAGAATCAGTTCTCTTAGTTTCTTTGTGAATTCTTAATCATTGCTTTTCAGAAGTTTTCCTTCTTTTACTCATATTTTTGTGTAGCATCGATAAATTGTCTTTTGCCGTTTGTAAGGTTGGATCCAATTCTAGAGCTTTCAAATAGCGCTTTTCAGCCAACGAGTACTTTTTCCAGCGGTGATAAAGAACTCCTAAATTTAGAAATCAGTAAATAATTCAGAAGAGATTCCATTTAAATTATTAATTACCAAGGTTTGCATGGTATTTGGCGTTTTCCGGATCGAGCATGGTTGCTTTTAAGAAGTGCCGCTCAGCTTTGACAAACTGCTTGAGCTTTCCCAGCGTGTTTGCCAAATTAAAGTGAAGACCAGCCTCATTGGGAAGATAGGTGAGAGCTTCCCGGCCAACTTCCTCAGCTAGCTCTCTGCGACCAATACTGTCTAGCATAATAACCATGTTGCTCCAAGCAACCACATGAGTCGGTTTGAGATCAGTTGCATTCCTCCACGCTTCGTATGCATCATCATGTCTGCCTTGCTCCAGAAACTTAAATAATTGATTAATTCAATTAAATAATTAAATTTTGAGAGAATTACCAAGTTTCCTAGGTTGTAGTAGCAATCGGGATACTTTGGTCGATTTTGAAGCGCCGTTTTGTAACTCTCTTCTGCATCTTGGAATTTTTTAAGCCCTGCCTGTACAATTCCCAGATTCATCCAAGCTGCCGCAAAATTTGGACGGATATTGACAGCTTGGCTGAGTAGCTTTTCAGCTTCGCTCAAATGCCCTCCATCTCGAAGTAAATTCCCAAGATTATTCATCGCTTGCTCGTACTCAGGATAAAGCCTAAATTTGGAATTCATGTTTTAAAATGGAAGGAAATTGTTGAATCAATTTACTTTAAGGCGGCTGCATATTCTTCCAGAGCTAGCTGCTTGTCTCCTAAATCTGCTGCGTTTTTTGCTACATTGTAGTGCACTTTGGCATTCAGAGGACAGACACTCAGTGCTGACCTGAAAAGCTCTTGCTCTGTGCCCCATTCTCGACTTCTTTGGCATGATTTTAGAGCGAGGGTAACAAGCAGCATCATAAAGCTGCTTCTTATTGTCTGCAATTGATATAATATTAATTTGATGCATCTACGGTGTTAAAGAAAACCTACATGATGATATAACGGAGAGAGTGAAGACAATTGGCGCACACCTAACGTGATGAGCACACAAAAGCCAGCCGATGGCAAATATAAAACTCGCTCGGCTATGACAAAGCCCACTCGGAATAAAAGATTGGACGCTGGTAAAAATGAAACAATCAGCAGTGCCAGTCCCAAGGCCAAAGTCCTGCAGGAAAAATGTTTAAAATGATATTATTTCTCAATAAAGTTTGAAATTACTTTGCGGAGTTTGTGGTCATGGTGAAAAACCATCTAAGGCCAAGCAAAGTCATCATGACCCAAAGCAAAATTGGAGCCAGAACTCTCAAATCAAGAGGTGATGTGACGAGAGGAACGCAGCCCATTGCCCAGTCAAAGCACAACCAGTCGGGGCAGAGCAAGAGCCAGAAATTTAGTGCGTAAATATAGTTGTAGCTTACAACCTACAAAAGATGATTGAATTTTTATTGTAAAAATAATGGTAAAGATAAAAGAAATACCCTCGTAAAAAAGCTTTCAGCAAAAGACGCTGGATTGTCCACTGGCTGAAATGTTGGAACTTGGCCTCCCATTACAAACCACCTGCCAAACAACAGGACCGAGCCCCACAAGGCCAGGGCAATGTGTCTCATTATAACATTTTTTCTTTTCTTCCGATCCCTTTCTTGCCATAGATTGATCACGTCGTAAGCACTGCACAAGCCCTATATAGATCAATTTTGATATTCATACAAAAGCAGGAATTTAACAATTAATATTTACGATAACTGTGATTCCTTGTTCCTTGCAAAGCATCGACACAAGGGAGAAAATCATTGTCAGATCAAGCCAGATTACTGCTGGTAAAATCTGGATGCTGAAAATTGAGCTGTCCACGGATTTGCAGTAGCTGAGAAAGGCCAAGAAGAAGAAAAGTGCGCAGAGAAGGTCAGCTCGTCCAACAATTCCCGCAACCTGCCGATTGTAAAAATTAGAATTTCTATATATTTTAATTATTTATTAAACTTGCAGCTTCACAATGAATGGGATGCACTGAAAAGAGCAAACTTGCTAGAAGAGACGCCTTTGGGCAGTTTCCTCCAAACATTCTGTCAAAAATGCTGAGCGAAAGGACAGAAATCACGATGTGTAGGAGTAAATTTGTTAACTTGAAGCTCCTGGCAATCAGCACTCCTCCACTCAACCAGTAATTCAATCTTTGAATAAAATTAAAATTAATAAAAAAAAAAATCACTTCTCACCTAAAAGAAAGGACATTTATAGGTCTGTATGACTTGTGACTGTTGGGATGGTTGAGTCTTGTGCCCCAATAGTCATTGTAGAAAATGCTTGAGACCGGAGTTGATGTCCGCACGTCTTCGTTATTGATGATGGCTTCCGAGTCGTCGAAAACAAAGTCTCCAGTCAGAGCCGGAACAAATGAGATAGTGGCGCAGCAGCAGATCAAAATGATAGAAGTCCATATCGGAAAAACTTTTGGAAAAAAAATTTTTATATTTAGATCTTTTAATAATAATTGAAAAATTATTTGTGCATACTTGGTATTGGAATATTGGCGTCCCAAGTCTCTTCGGCAATTTTTGAATTTGACTTTCGCACATGACTGCCATTGGCGAGATCTTCTTGTTTGGAACCTCTTCCATTTCTCAATTTATAAGTCATTTTAGAAGGTACGTATTTTATTGCTCGTCAGTTCAATCATTCAGCACTGCAAACCTAAAAAAGAATTACAATTTTATATTCATTTTAATTAGAATTTAAAATTTTAAACAATTAAATCATGAAAAAATATCACCAAAATAATATTTTCCAAAATTTATGCACTTTTATGCATAATATTTATTTTATAAGGAAATTTGAAAAAAAATTCAATTCAAATAAAAAAAATTGCCTTTATAAAAGATCTGCACTCTATGTACTATGAACAAATTTGGATAAAACACGAAAATTTTCCCTCAGCTTTTGTTTGCAGCTCAGCATGTGATTGTAACTTTTCATGTGTGTTTGCTATGTATTTCAGAACTGTGGTTTTATCTTATCTTTCCTCCTGCTCTCTATGCAAATTTGAGGGACTCGTTAGACTACAAGTAAAAAAACCCAACGCGCCTTTTTTTCTAATCATAATTGTGGGCGCGCGCATCACTTTTTGTCGCCGGGCTTTCGTCCTTGATCCATTTTTACTTTTGGTTCTTGTTAATTATACCTCGCATGACGTCCGGCCGGCCTCTCCAGCGTTGGCAACTCGCGAAGAATCCAAATCCTTGACCCTGGAGTGTAGGCAGCCGCGCTCGACTCGCTCTCTACTGCATGCTCGCTAGTCGGCCGAAATGGACCGAATTCTCCGCGGCATCATCAAATATCACCACCACACTCGCCAGGGGATGGTCGAGCAGTTCCAGAGGGTCCGCGACAACCCTGCGGTGAGTCTGGAAAGTCGGCGCTCGGCGTAAAATTCGAAGCGGGGCCGAAAATATTTTTTTTACTGCTTTTGTTGATGACCGTGAGTTTGCGGGGTCGCCGCTAGGAGTCCTCACCGTTTGCATTCAGCGGAAATTCATGCACTTATAAGCAACATTGGCGCAGTCCTGGGCCGTGTTGCCGTGTTTTATTATTTTTTTTAGATAAATTTATATATACACTGTTTTTTCGGTTTTTTTTAATTTTTTTTATTTTTGAAAGTTCACTTTATGTCCATATTGATAAAAATAATTGTTAAAATTTTCTCCGTTTTCTCTCGTTTAATTATAAAAAATAAAAACAAAGTTTTAACCAAAAATTACTTATAAAATTATAACACAAAAAACATTAGCAAAAATAGTAATCCAGTATATTCTATTTTTAATTTTTTATATATTAAAAATATCAAAAAATAAATTAATATTTAATTCACAAAATTCAGTCAGAATAAAACCTTTTGTCTTTTGTCTCTGGTGGTCTCTGGTACATGCCTACACGGTGAACACGTTTTTATTTTTCTCCACTTGTGCCATAAAAGCATAATGGTGAGTTTGGCGCAGAGTTTTTCATCCGCGCCCCAACCCCACTCCGCGATCTGCGGGTTTAAAAGGGTCAGAATGCACAATACAAATTTGTCCAATATAGAACATTTTTTGCACACAGAAATTGCGCCCACGATGTGGTGTTAAAATTTGTGTTTAAGCGTGTGTATTTTTTGTTTTTATGGAATTTTTCAATTTTTGTGTAGTGGGTAGTGTTTCGAGTTTGTTTTTTAGGTATAATTTCAGTTTCAGGTAAATATTTTGAGACCGATTTTTACGTGGATTGCTGAAACCATGCGAGAGATCAAGAAAAACAATTAATTAGCGATCAGACTTTTATTGCCAAAATTTGAACTTGAACACTAAAATTCCAAAATAACAACACTCGCACAGCACAAATTTGAACATTTACATTTTATTGTCCTCATTAATTAATTATTAATTTACCCCTTTTGCACCACGAGCGGTCACATCTGACGATACATAAAGAGTACCCACTGGTCAAAAGTTTTTAAAAGCGCAAAATTAAAAAAAAATATATATTTAATAATCTGCTGTGTCTGTTTTAGCCAAAAGCTGTGTTCTTTACCTGCATGGACAGTCGGATGATTCCAACAAGGTTCACCGAGACAAACGTCGGAGATATGTTTGTTGGTATGTAAAATAACGACCCACAGCAATGATCTCGAAACTAACAAAGTTTTGACTCACTCGATTTTTTTTTAATTTTCAGTACGAAATGCTGGAAACCTGATCCCACATTCTCAGCATTTCGTCAACGAGGCTTTCACCACCGAGCCGGCCGCCTTGGAGCTCGGCTGCATTGTGAATGATATCAAACATGTGATCGTCTGCGGACACTCGGACTGCAAGGTTAATTTAGGATCGCTCAAAAAACAATTAATCTTATCTTTATTGGTACAAATTTGTTGACAGGCCATGAATTTATTGTACTCTCTGCAAGACGAGCAATTCGCGTCGGTGGACAACAGGCGCAAATCACCCCTTCGAGCTTGGCTTTGCCGACACGCAGACACCTCGTTAGAAAAATTCCAACAGTTCAAAGGCGGCAACTTCACAGAGCCTCTGATATTCCAAGCCGAAACCCCGATGCGCAAATTTGTTGCTTACATTGACCCTGACAACAAATTTTCCATTGAGGACAAGCTCTCTCAGGTAAGAAATTTTACTTAAAAAAAAACCAAAAAAATTAATTTTTATTATTGAAAAAAAAATCAGATCAACTGCCTGCAACAGCTGCAAAATATTGCCAGCCATGGTTTCTTGAAGCGGCGCCTGGAAACCCACGACCTGCACCTGCATGCTCTCTGGTTTGACATTTACACCGGCGACGTCTACTACTTCAGCCGGCAAAGGAAGAAGTTTGTGGAAATCAACGACCTGACGGCCAGGTCGTTGTTGAAGGAGGTCCGTCGTTACTACTCCTAAGTTCACCGATTTGCCACTTCGCTCAACCTGTCACTTCTCTTTTCATTGCCAAGTGAGTACCAGATTTTATTTCCTAAAATCTTATGCAGCATGCGGAGCACGCACGTCGCGCTGGTTGCATATCTTGCGCCTGAATTATTCAACCGCTAAAGTTTTGCAGCAAAATTATGAATTGCACATCTTGTTGAAACTTCTAAGCCGTTTTTTAAAAAAAGTCTCAAAGCGAATATCGGAATATGGATCTATTTTTTTTTTTAATTGGGAACTGAATGCTGATTTGGAAGTAAATGTGCCTTAAAAGTAATTCAGGAAAATTGACTGCTTGAATTCTTGAATCGTTGGCATGGCGACGCGTTCGGCTGGTACCGGCCCACTTGAATGGCGACCGCCGCAGAGTCACACTCGGTGACCACGCCAATGCACCGAAAACTTTCTTCTGTCACCTAAGCGCAAGCTGTTAGAGGTGTTGCTGGTTATAAATGAGGAGTCATGCTGTTATTCGGCGATGGGTCCTGACAAATCGCTCCAGCATAAGATATAAAAACGTCATCGCTTAAAATTTAAATGTGCCAACACAACTTAAATAATTATTTGCAGATTTTTTCAAACTCGAACCATATACTTAGATTTTTTAAAGTAATTAATTACTTTATATTATTCAAAAGAGAGAAGTATTATTTAATAAGGAGCTTATGGTATCTGCACTGAAAATAAATTTGCCTCTTATTGTAAGATCAATCTAAAATTTCATGTTGACCTATCTATTGATTTTATTATTTTGCTAAATTTATTAGAGTGTTATTTCGTGAAATTTTTATTAATTTTAGTGGGGCAAATTTTGAGGAAAATATAATAAATTTACAAAATTTGGATAAGAAATAATTAGAAAAAAATCAATTACAATGATTTAAATTTTTCTTATGATGTCTCCTTGGAATTTAAATTTAGAAACCAATGGTAGTGTAGAGAAAAATTGCGATACAAAATAATTGGGCCATTTTTAGCAAAAGCCTCTCTTTAAACTTCGAGTAAATTAGCTCTAGCATATATAATTGCATGCGGATTCAGAAGTGGAAATTTAAAAAAAAAATACCAGAGGGTTATAATATTCCTATCCTGCTAAAAGGCAGTGCTTAATTTGTATCTTAATGAGCCTCTCTCGTAAGTAGGCTACTCCGTCAGAAGAAATGCGGAATGTTTTTCTCTCTCTCTGCGTCCATCCATCGCCTGCCTAGCTCTTATCCTCGCTCGGTGCAGGTGGGGAACGATGGATCGAGTGTGTGCTGCGTTGTTTCGGTGAACAAGCACACCGGAGTGAAAGTTTTCTCCTGACGACGATGATGATAATAATAAAACACGCGGCGGAGCTATAATAATCTTAATGCGCGGCGTTTTTCTCTCGTTCCTTCGTATTCGCGGCCGAGACCACGCCACCAGCAGCAGTCGCAATAATTTCAAGCATTGGAAAGTTGTAAAACAGAGTGCGCGAATGAGAATTTGAAGCGCGCCTTGTTTCCCGGTTCAAACAACGTCCTTGCCACATGAAAGATGGCAAATTAAAAGGAAAGCTGCTCTGGCCGTTTGCCGGCCTTTTTAATTATTATTCAAGTGCGCAGTAGCTTTTGCGTGACCTCTCATTTTGATATGGATTTTGGGGCTGTTTGGCCGGAATGTTTCCCGGCCCCTGCGTCTCTTAACCCAATTATTTTTTGTCCGGATGAAAGTTTATTTACAAATCACGCGGTGTGCAGGCAGAGACCAGTTTTGAACTTGGGACTGAATATTTAATCAAGCTGCCGGCGCCTCATTCCAACTTTTGATGACCATCACGAAATCCTGCCTGATTAACGAGGAGACGAGAAGTTGCTTTGGGAATTATAATTAAGGTTTAAAAGCAAACGAGTTTGCTAATTTTCAGCAGAAACTAGATGTTGTTTATTAAGGAAAGGAAATTTGAAAAAAAACCTGCTGTTCTATAATTGTAATAATTTATGTGCACAAAATACTATTTACATTTAAGAGACTGAATTTATTTAGAAATGAGGACTTATATTCATTCATTTGATTGCATTTCTCTCTAACAAAGATGGGAATGAATGGTATTAATACCGTATAATGCAATTTATTCCAATTCATTGACATACTATTGATTGTATATTTTGAATAAATTTGAAATAAATGCAACTCAAAACGCATATAAAAGGAGAAAAATATGAATTAAGTAAGTAGTAGAAGCATAATCTTTTTTGCAATTTAAATATTTTATTATTTATAACATTATAATCAAGTTAGAGCCAATCAAAATTTTTATACATTCAGACAATTTTTGATCAAATTAAATGCAACCAATCAATAATTTCTTGTGTTCCGTTGAAAAAAATATATCATAATTTAATGGTTTAAAATTACCAGCATGTTATCCTCAAATTAACGCAGCTTTCACGCGGAAAACGCAGTTAAAATTGTTTCTTAATTGACACATTATTATTCTATTTTTACGCACCCCGCCGAGTTTTTGAAATTTCACTCTCCGCACGCGTTTCACAATCAAAAGTGCATGCCTTTATAGTCAGCCACGCATACAATTTTTGTTTACATATATTTACCTGTTGAGTCGCACATTTACGAGAGCGATGATTTGAATAGAAGCAAACGCACCTTCTAGAAAAGCCCCAGAAAATTTACGATGATTTGGAGAAAAAGTGCTCTTGTCGTCATTGTTCTCGATGAAGTTGTTCTCAAGACCTTCGCGCAGCGGTGCAGTATTGTCCGGAAAAAGAAAGTTAATTCCTGGGGTTGCTGCGCTAATGGTCCACGCCATTGCTGGGAAGTCTCGTCGCTCAGAGGTATTGCCTCTCAGCGACTCGTTTGTCTCTTTTTGTGCTGGTCCATCAGCATTTTCTGAGAAGCGCGGCCAGGAAAAACTGCACACACACGGCGGATTTTCACTTTTACTGTTGCTTCCCAAGACGCGCATCCTTCTCTTATCCTTCCTGATGCAATGCGACCCCTCGGCATCAGACGGGATTTTTCAAACGAGGAAAGATCGGACGCATATTTATGTGTATAATTTG